GCACAGATTGAGGTCTTGCGATTGAAGAATATATGGAACTCAAAACGACTGTCATTCAACATAAAAGTCACAATCTCTGATACGAATGTCAAGATGGTTCTGGTGTACGGAGATAAAACGTGGAAAACTACTTAAACCATCATCAAATAGTTACAAGTATTTATAAGTAGTTGTCTATGCACGATACTCGATATCCGTTGGTGGGATACCATCAATAACAGCCGACTGTGTGAGAAGATAATCTAGCATCCAGTTGAAGAGGAAATTAGGGATAAACGTTGTAAGTGGACAGGACATAGACTGCAGAAGTAATCAAAGTGCATCAGGAGGCAAGCACTAACTCGGAACCCTGGACGGAAAAGGAAAGGTTGAAGATCAAGGAACATATCACATCAGGAATCGACAGATGAAACCTACAGAATGAGTAGCAATTGGAAACAGCTGGAAAGAATTGCCCAGGACAGAGTTTGTAACCAAATTCTGGTCGGTGCCCTCTGCAGCGCGAGCAGTAACTGGCGTACATAAGTAAGTATACTGATTTTCTGACTGAATAATCAATTCTTTGAATCTTCCATCGAAAGTAGTAGTGTCCTGCCTCTAAATAACGCGTTCAAGAAAAGACTTTGCTGCACATATTTACTAGTAAAGGGCTAACACAGGACTTCGTTACCCTTACCAACCCAGCGCGCGCGCTATTTTAAAGGACGATGGCATTTTTCACGCTGAGTAAATTCTGTTGTTTTGATCGTCTATTACGTATCACGACTAGTGTTTATACTTTAATTGAATTTATTTCAGTTAGAGTATCGGATCAGAGTATCATTTTTATTTCTAAAGTATTTTACCGAAAGCACTTTGTTTTCTATTGTATTTCTTAGTACTTTTGGTTCTAACAATTTACACTTTTCCACTTTTCTGGTCATAGATCACTTTGTCTCTGGGTACTATTGTCTAATTTACTTCCAAAAACCTCTGTTTGATGACTGGACGGTGCAAGAAAAGCAATTGCCAACGTCCGGGCTGCCAATATCCCGTTGGATGAGGCATGTAGTGTGGTGGGTGCAAAGGCTGGTGTCACGAAGTTGACGCCTGCGGATTTTAAATGGTTCAGTAAAAACGGTTGAGTATGGCTTTGTCAGCAGTACTGTTCGGACGAAAACAGATTGCTGAGGCCATCTCAATGGTAAATGCTGCGAAAACGCGTTTTAGCAAGCGCAGTCGTGCCACACCGGACAGCACCCTCTCTGTCGACACGCAAATTGATGTAAAGCCACCTCAAGTAAGCTCGGAAACAGCTGACTCATATCCATCAAAGGAGGAAAGACCGTTTTCAAAGAAGTCTGTCTTAGCTAAGAACTCAAGAAAGGAAGTTTCCTCTGTTCCCCGTCTTCTAAGCGGTATCCAGCAAGAAACGCCTACGAATGGCAATCTCAAGGCTCTATCTGTTTCTAGTAGGAAGCACAACCTGACTTTCCAAGTCGTCGACAACCCTCCGGATTCCTACAGATTCCTACGCAACTGTGGTTGCGAAAGTTGACGAATGGGTACAAGTCGTAAGCAAGGAACGACATAACGGTATGAACGTAAATCCTACCCCCTTACAAAAGTAGTCAAGAAACTGAAGACTGACCACAGTGACGGGTCAGTTATTTTTCATAGAAACAAGGAGAGTGAATGCTCTGAACCGAAAACTCGTTTTGAGCATGACATAGGGTTGATTAAACAGCTACTAAACCAACTTATGCCTCAAAATATCTCTGGAGTCACCTTGCTAAAGGTGTATAGACTAGGTAGTTAAACGAACTTAGAACCAAATCAAGCCAGGCTGCTGAAAGTGGCATTCAAATCTCCTGATGAATAGGACGCTATTTTAGAGAGTGGACATGAGTTAAAATGTTCAGGAGTTTTTGTCTACAAAGACTTACCTCTGGCAGACCGTGTAAAATGACGGTAAGCCGAAAAACAACTACAACTTAGGCTAGACGCTGACGAAAAGGATCTAAGAATTGTAAATTTTCGGGTTGTGAGGCTTAGACAGAGAATGATGCCGGAGGCACTCTGTGTGAAACATGAAGCCATCTAAATAGGCTTCGGGTCTGTTACACTAATCCACGAAGGTTGCTCAATAAGCGGTTGGAACTAGGTGTACATACTGACTCTAAAAAGCCAAATGTAATCACATTCTCAGAAACTTGGCTGGTGCAGTCTATAGATAGTATGGAACTTGATTTTGAGGGTTTTATGTTAGTAAGAACCTACAGAATACAAAAGCTCAAAGGATGGGGAGTTGCTTTATTCATTAAGAATGCTATTCCATTCGCCATTATCGACAGTGTATCTCATGAGAGTGGTACGTGTGGATTACTTCGTTTCCGCTTGAAACGCATGGGACAAGATCTACTGATTGGTTTGGTCTGTCACAGTCCATGCTGTGAGGTAAATGAGGTCTTGCTAAGCAGTCTCGATACTCGGTCACAAAGTGGTCGATGTCTAATCCTAGGAGACTTTAATGCACCATAGTATACTGGGAAAACCTAAGAACTGAGTTGTCAGATAATTTCTTCGAGCAGGAACTAGTTGATGCGGTTATTACGTATGCTCTAATGCAACATATGAAAGAAGCAACTAGAAACGACCCGAACTCTTAATCATTTTTACTAGATCTTATATCGATCCATTATGAGGATGGCGTTACAAACCTCGATTACATGCCACCCCTAGGTAAAAGTGATCATGTAGTTCTAAATTTTGACTTCCATATAATTGTCAAGCACGATCATGCGTCAGCTCAGTCCAGACCTAACGTCTGGATAGCAAACACACAAGATATCATGTACTCAGCATCATCAGTAGATTGGACAATAGAGCCACAGTCCTCAATCTAAACGGCTCGGGACGCATTTCGGAATTTATGCTTAAAAGTTACCTCACCCCACATCCTTTGGACTATATCATAGGGGCCGAAAAATTCTCCAACATGGTTCAGAAGGGAAGTTTGCATCTTTCTCCGTAGGAGAAGAAAAATATGGGATAGATTTAGGTTACTGGGGATTGATGACACAAAATCTCAGTATCGAAAAGCTCAGAATACCTGTGCCTCAACCCTCCGTAAGTCTAGAAGATTATACGAAGAGAAAATTGTCGAGAAACCCATAGAATGTCCTAAAAGTTTGTATTCGTATATAAACCAAAGGACAAAAAGAAGGGGAAATTTTGCCTGCACTATGGGGAGACAGTGTAGTGGCATTGGACAATAGCCACACAATCCACAAAGCTGTGAACACGAGACTACTCAGAAAATAGATATTCAATATTTAACTCGGGGAAATACCTAACAATGGAGAAGGCGCAAACAATGAGTTGAGTGAATTAGAGTTGATCGAACGGCATGGCTCGGCCGTTCAGGCGTGGTCTCTGCTGAATGTTATCTTATTTCTTCTATTCATATTAAATATATTGTTCCTTCTCTAGCCTAACCTTGCTCTATATCATGTGTTGGTTATTGGTACGATACAGTGAGTTGGTTTAGTCGATGGTGTGACTTCCACGTAAGGTCTTACAGATTAGGCAGTTATATCATGACGAATCTACAAATTTAGGATTAGGTCTATTATTAGAGCAGTACTAATATCATAGTAGACCATAATTCTACAACAGTACTGCCTCACCATTAGTGGAGGACGACTTTGACAAAGCTTAAGTATTCCCAAAATTCTCTAGCCATGTTTATACCATAGAAACACTCTTCCCGTCACTCCATACAAACCCCTTTGCACAGACACTGGACAGCGTGACCATTAAGGAACTTGATGTCTTTGGTCTGCTAAATAAGCTTGACATAGATAAATCCACGAGGCCCGATGAATTGCATCCTAGGCTACTGAATGGATTATCTAACTTCGTTGGGAAACCTTTAAGTATATGCTTTAATCTATCTGTAAAGCAGGGTCGTTTACCAAAAGATTGGAAAAATGCCATAGTAAGTCCTGTCTTCAAAACAGGTACGAAACATAAACCTGAGAATTACCGACCTGTTAGCTTAACTAGTGTGGTTGTTAAAATCTTACAAAAGATTATTCGGGAGGAGCTTTTCAAGTATCTCGATGAAAAACGGATCCTTTCGAAAAAGCAGCATGGTCTTAGAATAGGTTATTCTTGTCTCACTAACTTATCAATGGCTCGTGAAAGCTGGTGTACCCAGGGCACAGTTTTGGGGCGAGTGTTATTCCTCTTGTTTGTAAATGATCTTCCTCGCCTAATATCATCATCGGTTTTGCTATATGCTGACGATGTCAAGATATGGAGAAGTAAGGGTGATGGCTTGAAACTCCAGAATGACCTGGAGAAATTATCTGGATGGTCTCAAACCTGACGGTTCCCGATTAATACTTCCAAGTGTATTGGGATGCATATCGGTAATCGAGGTACAGATACATACAAGATGAATAACACTGAGCTACCTGTTATCCAAATACACAATAACTTAGGAGTCATCGTTAGCCAAGACTTAAAGACTAATGAACACTGCCGTGCAATAGCCGTCAAAGGTTTTAGAATTTTATGGTCTTTAGTCATGACGACGCTAAAACATTTTTGACTTTGTGCGCAGTGTTCGTACGTCCTAAAATTGAGCACTGCATACAAGCGGCTAGCCCCTGCTTAAAAAAGACAAAGCGATTTTGGAAAAGATTCATAGAACATCAGCTAAGCTGATTCCCGGAATAGCATAGCTCCCGTATGATGCTCGACTGGCCAAACTAAATCTGTCCCCGTTGTCATGTCGGAGAACTAGAGGCAACTGATTACAGTTTCCAAATTTCTTATTGATAACTTTGCACCTGATATGCCCCCATTTTTCTTGTCTTCCAAAACAGAGAATTTACGAGGATACAGCAAAAGATTTCACAAATACATAACGAATTACTTGTCAGATATCGACTTTCCCATCGAATCATCGACGAGTGGAATTCATTACCTCAGCACGTGGTTCAAGCTCCATCTGTCGACTCTTTAAAAAGAAAGTTTTATCATCTGAGAGACGGTCATTGCCTTTCGTCCTTCACGAACTGAAACTTTTTTCAAAACAATTAGTTGATCAATCATAACATTAAGCGCTCTATATTTCTGTAACGCTACTTTTAGATGGTGTTCGTAAGTGGTTGGGATTAATCGATTCTTTTTCTTAGTTTCATCGAATTGATAATTCTTCACCGTTCACCACCTCGTACAGATGCTATCCAGTTTCCTTTTTAGCCGATAATTTTCGTTCTAGCGTGGAAAAAGGAGGGAAAAGTAAGACTTCATATACTGTGTAAGTGTTTTAGTTATCATGCCTCCATCTGCTTTAGATGTACTTAGTAAGTCTCAGGTTTATGAACGTATAAAACTTTAAGCACGACTGAACGTCCAGTACCCAATGCTGTTCAAGCTAACTAACCAACAAGCAAACCGAACTACTCATTGTGGTGTACTGGAATTTGTTGCGGATGAAGGGAGGATTTATGTTCCTTATTGGGTAGACATCAAATATATCAGTTCTATTTTAGATGCTAAAAAATCTACATTTGGAAGAGGGTGGCCTGGTCTCTGTAGTTAATGCAGCCTTACCTGTGGCTTCTTTCGCTCGTTTCCAGCCTCAGAGTACTGATTTTCTGGACATATCTAACCCTAAAGCTGTGTAATTTTATTCCCAACTTATAGTTACATTTAGACTGGAAAATGCTCTTCGAGACTTTGCTTGCCTCACAGTCGGAGATATCATTGCTATCAACTACAATGAGCGTATATATGAGCTTAAAGTGTTGGAAACGAAACCGAAGGATGCAGTCACTATAATTGAATGTGACATGAGCGTAATTTTCCTATTCATATATTTGTCTTTTTAGGTTGATTTCGCACCTCCAGTTGGATATCAGCCTACTGATTCTGGTTCTTCGAGCAAACAAAGTGATAAAGATCTACATAAGGTATGTCTTTTAATTGTTTAAATTTTTTTATTTGAAACGTAACTTACTGACAGCTGTTCAAAGTTTCTTTTGGCTGCCAACCCATATGGTACGAGTTTGTTGGTGAGATCCAATTAGTTTTGTGAAGTTCGAGATTATAGCAGACTCATTTGTCAGAAGGAAGAATCTTTAGGGTATTGTGTCATCTCGGCTGGTTTAATGGTGACGCTTTTGTTTTGAACCCCCGTAAACCTACGCACATGTGGTAAAAATTAATAAATAAAAGTATCTGATGCCACTATCCTTATCTTTAAAGGTAGGAGTTATCATATCATAAGAATTGAAATAGCATTGATTTTTTGTCTATATCAATTACCGGCGAGACTCTAATTTAAGGACGACCTTTGAACGAGTCTTAAGTGACCTTGACGATTATTAGCCAATCAGAAGACAGTTAATAAAGTGAGAATATATTGTAAGTAAGTAATGAATTACAGTGGATATTCTTCTTTTACATGATTTAAAAACTTGTTAAGGTTTGATAAAGGTTCAGAGGCTCTGAATTCATAATGCATATTATATAGAAACTCGTCCATAGGGTTAGTTGTTAGGGTTGTGGCCTGTAAGTAGACACATCTTCTCTAAAATCCGAAGTAAACCGATCGCATGTTAGCACCCTAATCCTAACCTAACCCTAATCTAACCCTAACTTTAACCTAAACCCTAATCTAACCCAAAAACCCTAACCTTAGCCCTAAACCCTAATGTAACCCTAACCTTAAACTAACCCTAAACCCTAACCTTAGCCCTAAACCCTAATCTAACCCAAAAACCCTAACCTTAGCCCTAAACCCTAATCTAACCCTAACCTTAACCTAACCCTAAACCCTAATCTAACCCAAAAACCCTAACCTTAGCCCTAAACCCTAATCTAACCCTAACCTTAACCTAACCCTAAACCCTAATCTAACCCTAACCTTAACCTAACCCTAAATCCTAATCTAACCCTAATCTAACCCTAACCCTAAACCCTAACCTTAACCTAACCGTTAACCCTAATTTTAACCCCAAACCCTAACCCTATGGACGAGTTTCTATACAATATGCATTATGAATTCAGAACTTCTGAACCTTTATCAAACCTCAACAAGTTTTTAAATCATGTAAAAGAAGAATATCCACTGTAATTCATTACTTTCTTGTAATATACTTTTACTTTATACTGTCTTCTGATTGGCTAATAATTGAAATTGCTCAAACGCTTCTCATTGGCTCGTCCCTAAATTATAGTTTCGCCGTCCCATCTGTTGTAACCTCTCATTAATCACCTACTCTCTAAAATCCGCTGTGAACCGATCGTATATTAGCAGCGCGTGTTGAACTTGGCTCCGTGACCTTGAAATTGCTCAAACGCTTCTGATTGGCTCGTCCCTAAATTAGAGTCTCGCCCAATTACCTTAATGACTGTACATAATTTAGATGCACAAATATCATCGTCGTTTTGTCACCACTTCCATTTTTGTGACAGTTTAAAAATTGTCAAAAACATTTGTTGACAATATCTTCTCGTTCTGTCATTTGTCTACGCTGACTTCTTGTTTCAGATCGAAGAAGATCACATAGAAATCCCTTCAGTTGTTCAAGGATTCCAGGTAACTTGTTCATGTAACTTCTCTCTTGTTTAAATATTATGGCAATAAATACTTAAATACTTATTGCAATGGCTAAGGGACTCTAAGTAAACTTCAAGATCCTTGGTATTTCTATTTTGAAGATGGAGTAGGTGTTTACGTGTTTTGATTTGTTGAAAAATACTGACTTGTTAACTGAGGAACATCAAATATCTCATATTAGTAAATCGATATAGTTCGGAGTCATCAAATGAGAAGGACAAATGACAAATAGCTAAGCTTACCTAGCAGTGATCCATGCTAATCTATCTTGTATTTACATCCATGGAATCATATATCGAAAACCATACTAAAGGGTCTTAAGTGTCGTCGTCTTATATTACAATTATTGACTTCATAACTTATTAGCTCTTCGCCTGACTACCCAGAAATATTTCTCAACCTGATATCTTAGTTAGCATCACATTTGTTGATAGCCTGTAACTAGAAATGCGTAATAGATCTGTATCCTAGGTCAGTACGGATCCCCTACCTTGCTGACTCATCGGCCCTACTGTGTGCAAAAAACACTTCATTCTCATCGATTGGCAGATACATTTATTGTAATATCACTTGTCATCATTTGCAAACTAGTCTGATAGAATGAAACAAACTACCTCATCATATTCTTAGTTAACAATAGAAGTCATAATGTATTGATATTGTATTCCCGACTGCCAAACAACGTTTCTTCTCCGGACAATACGTCGCCAATTACTTACTATCGTGAAGAGAAAATGAACTCCTTGCGTACATTAAAAATTCGTGTTAATAAGTGAGAACTAAATATTGAGTATTCGTTTTTGTTTTCTCTTTGTGATCATACTTTTTTCGTAATATTTAACCATAATGTTATCTGTCATCCAAAAGTATTGATTTCCTTACTATTTCAGTTATAATCCCCTGTCTATTTTCAGGATTTTATGGTAATAGTAGTAGCAGCAGTGTAGAACAAAGTGTTTATTTAGCATATTCGAGTTGTGGATCCATGTCTCAGGTTTCACGGGTTGAATCGTCATTACGACCTATGACTTATTCATCGTCTATTTTAAGACTGATTCGTCGACTTCTCAATGGTCCTGTCAGCCTAAAAAATAAGTAACAAACTTTAGTCACATCATGGATGCCACCCATTTTCTTCCGAATAAGCGAATCATCAGTATTCAGGTTTCCTAATCCACATGAGTTGTATTTGTAGCTAAATAGACCAGTTCATAGGAATATTTATATGTTACCAGTTTTATTTGTTTAAACAGCTCATGAATTTTCATTTATTCTAGGCATTTAGCGGTACAGGTTATCGGTTAGATGGAAAAAATAAACAGGATAAAACTGATGAAACAGATAATGGTCAATCATTAGGGCAATTGAAAGAAAGAGAAAGGTAAGAATGACCATTATTTCTAACTTTATTATTGTTACACCAAAGTGTTCACAGAATAAATTGAATTATTGATAACATGAAAGTAATTTACATGTGATTTTAGTAAAGAAATTTGATCTTCGACCCCAACTGAATCGAAAGCTGAAGCAAATAATCATATCTTAACAGAAAGAGTTCTCTTTTCGGCGAATTCATCTTCAAAGCTGTACAATCGCAAATATATATACTTGTCCTTTGATTAATACCTAAACCATTAACAATCAAACGGTTATTAAACTTTCCTTGTTTTTAAAAGAATTTTTTAATAACTTTGTTTATTTAACTTCACTGTCAACATGTCTAACAGAAGTTTAGTATCAGTATTATTATCATCCTGTTAAAATAAATACATATATTTGCGATTGTACAGCTTTAAAAATGAGTTCACCGAAAAGAGAACTCTTCGCTGGACTAATCTTTCTTAATTAATGTCTTAATGGGTGTATTCCGTTTATCAAATATTATTATACAAAAGTGAGAATATGGAAAACAAAATTTCACCACCTGTTTTCTGAAGTTAAACTTTCAGATGGCCATGGTTACGGAAAGACCTAATATCTAAAAGTCCCCTATACTACTGAAGTTCATATTAAATCCAGAAAATTTAAGGCGATCGATGAAAAATCAGGAATTGTGATGCTAAATATTTCTAGCTTGAGTTTGAAAATTTTTATTGGTAGTTCACGATATCAGACTGTGTTATCACAGTGTAGTCTGTAATGAATTTTATCTAATAATATTTACCTTATACTCTTAATGCTTATTTGGTAGGATAATTTCATTCAATTCAGTTTAACTTAATGAATGATTAAATGTTTCAAAGTACTCTTTCTGCACTCTTGACTTTCTCTACAGGGGTGTACCAAACTATAATTATCGACCTGGAAGTTTAACATTTTTCCGAAATCTAAAACAAATTACTGCAGAGGTAGGTTTATATTATCTAATATTTTTTATAATACTATGTTATGCTGTAAGCTGAAATTCCGTTGCCAGTTCATTTAATATGTATCACCATGGTTACATTTAGTTTATCAAAGGCGGCGGAAATAATTTCGACGTTGACACTGTCCATTGACTTAAATTTTCCTCACTGAGGATGATTTATAACTGGTTTGAGGCAGAGTAGTTAGTGTATCATTTTACGTTGCAATGGTTTAGACGACCAAATAGTATCACTAGTCTTCATACAAGTAACTGTAAATTAAATCTGAGTACTTAAACTTGTACTTACTTGCTGAATGTTTGAATCTTTTCAATCATTGCTTACTCTAACATTTGGGATTGTGAGAATAGAAGACTCGAATTTCCATATTGTGGATTCTATTGATCATTCTACTTCATTTATCTATGGTTAAAACAGACGCCTTTATTTATTATCCTTTTTTGGTTAACAAAACTAAGTCTTCTAAGAATTCAGGTGTAAGCGAAACAATCACAGAAAAAGACGACACTCTTATCTGCTCTCAGTCCAGACGTTTAGAACGATGGGCGGAACACTTTAAAGAACAGGTGAGCTGGCCCTCAGCTATTCTACAACTACCTTCCATTCCCAAACAGCCTGAATGAAGCATTGAATTAGGCCTCCCGATTCTAATTGAAGTTCGAAAAGCTATAGCTAATCTGAAACGCGGAAAAGCAGCTGGTCCAAATGGATTGGCCCCAAAGGTCTTTAAGGATGGTGGTCCAGTTTTAGCGATTATGCTAACTAATATGTTAGCTAAGATCTGGGAGTTGGACGTAACCCCATATGACTGACTGGTCACAATCACTGATTGTCCCAATATATAAGAAAGGTTCAAAATTATCCTGTGATAACCGTAGTGGGGTTAGTTTGACTAACATAGCATCTAAAATACTAGCCTCGACAATTATCAGACGCTTAACTAAGACTCGCGAACTGCAAACACGAGAGAATCAATCTGGCTTCAGACCTCGTCGTGGCTGCCTCGACCACATATTCACCATTCGTCAGGCTCTATAACACAAGCATACTTATTGGCGTCCGACAATGGTGGTCTTTCTTGACTTAAAAGCAGCATTTGACTCCGTGGACCGCGAGATTCTGTGGCAGTGTCTGTCATTGAAAGGCGTACCTCAGAAGTACATAATTTTTGTGAAGGTTCTTTACTCGAACACTACTAGTCGAGTCAGAGCTTATGACGAACTGTCTCTGCTTTTGCGACCCCAAGTGGTGTCTGTTAAGGCTGCCCACTCTTTTTCTGTTCAATTTCATCATAGACCTTATTATGGGAATAACGTTCTTGTCTGAACATCGATCACTACGACGTGCAATGCTGATTAGTGTTAGGGATGGTTAGAAGAAAGCTAGGGGCGGCCAATCCAAAACATGCCATCAGTGCTTGAAGTTAATAACTTCTGGTCTGAGCCATGTTGGTAGATGCAGACTACTTGGTTGGAATCCGCGCAACTATCATAACCAATGGTTAGAGTCTGTGTGACGTGGCTGAGAATCGATCACAATGGCGTGTGTGTATACACTTTTTGTCTTCTCCTAAACCGTGAAATTAAAATTACTTTATACCTTTCTTTCTACCAATTAGTTCTTTCTTCCTGTATTATATTCTCATACACAATCTTTTTTATATATTCAGTCAGTCAGCTACAACGTAGGACCAGGCACATATGTGCATCGGTCCAGGTTGCCATATCGCATCAGCACAACAAGATGAACACCGGATTCACAGCAGTGGTTAAGTCAAAGGTGGTAATATATAAGAGAAAGATTGCATATAGAGATATAGTACAAGAAAGAATTGGTTCGTTGAAAGAAAGATATGAAGTGATTTTAATCTCTTAGTTTAAGGGAAGACAGGGAGTGTATACACCGACGCCATTGTAATCGGTTCTGAGCCATTTCATCAAGAGTCTCCAACCATTGGTTACGATAGTCACGCGGACCCCAACCAAGTAGTCTGCATCTACCAACATGGCTCAGACTAGAAGTTAGTGTCTTCAAGCACTGATGCCACGTTTTGGTTTGGTCGTCCCTAACTTTCTTCCAACCATCTCCAATACCGGATAGCATTGCACGTCGTGGTAGTCGGTGTTCAGGCATACGTAATACGTGGCCCAACCATCTCAGTCGATGAAGATTCATAACCTCATCAACTGATTTACCATCATTCCCTAATACCCTGCGTCTAACCTCACTATTACTTACCCGGTGATCCCAGCAGATGCCAGCAATATTTCCAAGGCATCTGTAGTCAAATACTAATAGCTTACGAGTGTCTTCTACTCTTAATGGCCATGTTTCGCTGCCGTAAAGTAAAACAGAACGGACTGCCGCGCAGTATAACCGTCCTTTATTGATAGACGGATATCTCGCCTTCGCCAAAGGTGACGCAAGTTGGCAAAAGCCAAGCGAGCTTTTCGAATCCGTGCTGAGATTTCGTCAGACGCCAACCCATTAGGGCTGATCAGACTTCCAAGATAAGTGAAGTTGTCAACGCGTTCAACTACTTCACTCCCTATTCTTAGTTCAGGTGTTGACGCAGACCAGTCCTGAAGCAACAACTTGCATTTAGAGGGAGAGAAGCGCATTCCAAACATTCTGGCATTGTTGCTCAGTGCTACCAGAAGACTCTGCATTTTGTTAGCGTCTTCACCAAACAGGACTATGTCATCTGCGTATTCTAAGTCGATAAGTGGACCTCCTGGTAGGAGATCAATACCCGAGAATTCAGTCGACGAGAAAGTTATTTCCATCAGTAGATCTATGATGAAGTTAAACAAAAATGGGGAAAGTGGACAGCCTTGACGGACACCACTTGGGGTCGCAAAAGCAGAGACAGTTCGTCATAAGCTCTGACTCGACTAGTAGTGTTCGAGTAAAGAACCTTCACAAAAATTATGTACTTCTGAGGTACGCCTTTCAATGACAGACACTGCCACAGAATCTCGCGGTCCACGGAGTCAAATGCTGCTTTTAAGTCAAGAAAGACCACCATTGTCGGACGCCAATAAGTATGCTTGTGTTATAGAGCCTGACGAATGGTGAATATGTGGTCGAGGCAGCCACGACGAGGTCTGAAGCCAGATTGATTCTCTCGTGTTTGCAGTTCGCGAGTCTTAGTTAAGCGTCTGATAATTGTCGAGGCTAGTATTTTAGATGCTATGTTAGTCAAACTAACCCCACTACGGTTATCACAGGATAATTTTGAACCTTTCTTATATATTGGGACAATCAGTGATTGTGACCAGTCAGTCATATGGGGTTACGTCCAACTCCCAGATCTTAGCTAACATATTAGTTAGCATAATCGCTAAAACTGGACCACCATCCTTAAAGACATCTGGACCAGCTGCCCTTCCTCGTTTCAGATTAACTATAGCCTTTTGAACTTCATCAAGAGTTGGGGGACCTACTCCAATATTCCATTCACACTGTCTGTGAATGGAGGGTAGTTGTAGAGTAGCTGAAGGCCAGTTGGACTGTTCTCTGAAATGTTCCGCCCATCGTTTTAAACGTCTGGATTGGGAGCAGATGAGAGTATCGTCTTTTTCCGATATAATCTCACTTACACTTAACTTATTAATTCCAGTTTCTTTTATTAGTCTGTAAAGCTGTCTTGTGTTCCCTATAGTCGCCCCCTTTTCCATCTCTTTTGCTTTCATTGCCCACCACTGCTCACGGTCGTTTCTTAGACTTTTTCTTAACCTAGATCTGATTTGTTGTCGCTCTTCATCATGTTCGGAACCTGATGGGACGAGTTTGCGAGAATCCATCAGTGTGATAGACTTTGAAGAAATCCATTGGTTCTTTGTAACCCTGTGGTTTAAATCACTGATAAATGTCACTGCTGTTTCCACAGCTGTTTGTATGGCTTTCCAAGCAACAACTGGGTCAACCTCGTTTTCAGAACTACCTAATCGTGACCTCAGTTGTTCCTGGAACCTACTTTTGGTTTTCTCGTTACTCAACTCAGTTTTAATGGGTCTTTTTACTGCGGCTTTTTTGCGTCCAGTGAGGCGCAAGTAGATGCGTGCCCGTATTAGGGCGTGGTCGGAGTCCAAGCAGGTACTCCAGAATGAGCGACAATCTTCTACCGACCCTCTCCAACGATGACTGATGGCAATATGGTCTATTTGAGTCCATCGTTGGTTTGTTGTAGGGGGTCGCCATGTTAGACGATGTCTCTCCTTATGCTTAAAAATTGTGTTTGCTAAAAATAGGCGATTGTCTGAGCACAGTTGCAGCAGACGGTCACCATTATCTGCTCGCTGTGTCGGTATACTAAAATACCCACCTAAATGCCTTTCTGTTTGGTTTAAGCTACCTATCTGAGCATTAAAGTCACCCCCTACGAGTACTATGTCTGAGCGTTTAGCTTTCTGAAGAAGTTCAGAAAGCTTTCTGTAAAATTCATCTTTCACATCATCTGAGCTGCAGTCAGTGGGAGCGTAGGCAGAAACGACGAAAAGGCAACGACGTGTGTCCCTATCCTTCCGAGTTTTTACGGAGCCGTTTAGCCGAACAGCACATAGGCGACTGTTGACGGGGATCCACTCTAGCAGTGCTTGTTCCGCCCTCATGCTTAGTGTTATGCCTACACCTGCCAGTCCACGAGAACTGGCCATCGGGTCACCAGATACACGGAGGGTGTATCTCGTTGGCTCTCCGTTTTGCCGAGGTGAGGTCAAGTGAATGACCACACTGGAATCCTGTATGCGTGTTTCGGATACACAGCATACATCAATGGAAAGAGACTCTAGGGTTTTAGCCAAGGAAGCCTGCTGACCGATTTGGCATAGGGTGCGTACGTTGAAGGCTCCAATGTGTAGTGTGGAGCGAGGTTTCAGTAGACCTGGGACAGTGTTTTGAGCACTAGAATTGTTGGGCTATGGTGACACTTGAGGAGGAAGCCGAAAAAAGAAGTTTAGAGTTTGAAGTCGATGTAGGAGGAATAATAGGAATTGAAGAGGAAGGTTGATTATGAATACAGTGGTCTCGAGTGCTGTTAGAGGTATGAGGGTGGTTATCACTTCCCGGTTGCCCACACCGAGGAAGGGTTCTTCTGGAGGTACCTGAAAAGGAAATTGGATTAGAGGTGGTATTAGTGACCTGAGAGCGTGACCGCAGTGCCCAAGGGACAACTGCTTGAGGCCGGTCGCGCACAGCCTTTTCGTGGGAAGTTTTTGACGTGTTAGCTCCGTTCTTCAAAGGGCCTTACCACCGGAGACGGAAATCCGTGAGGTGTGCATTTTTAGGGTCGACCTTTTCTAACCCCACCCCTCCTTGTGGGAAGGCAGCATCGCTGTCATGCTGGTTGTCCGAGGGAAACACCTTACTGCTGTCACACCTCTGTACAGTCAGCAGTACGACTTCGCCTTCGGACCTTGGGTTTGTTGCTTTTAGTCTTACCGCTCTTCAACCGACCTGTCTGACATGGTAGGACCTTGAGGAACGGTTGTTCCAGCCAATATAGCTCGGTTGGGTCATCACGATAGGCGAGCCCGACCACCACGTCAAGGTAGCAACAACTACCATTGAAGTAACCACTATAAATTTGGTGTTGATCTTGTTGTACTAATAAGGTGTGGCAACTTGGACCGATGCATATATGTGCCTGGTCCTACGTTGTAGCTGACAGACTGAAGCACATACACCTGCGTAGAATTTTTAGATTTTGTTGACATGTAGGCAACATGCAGCTTGTTTTTTTCACTTTTGACCAACTATTTTTTGCTATTGATGTTTTAACAGTATCTGTCCATATTCAATACTCAAGTTCTTTTTATCGAAGAAAGAACAATTGTAAAGTAGACTTTGTAGATAAACTGGATAGTTTTCAAGTACTGTATACAGTAGCAAATTATTATCATCCCTCAACTGCAAATATTTACTCGCTTCCTTATGTGATTGGTTCCACACGTAGTTATATTTAGAAACATAGAAGAGCAACTCAGTGATTTAAGCTCGTATATTCAAATCACTAAATAATTAGCAGATTTGGACCCATCTCCACTCATTTCTCTTTAGCCACCATCCGGATAATAACTCTATCCATTGATTCTCATTCAGAAGATATGTTTCAATAGCCGGTTAAGTGAGTTTATACTTGGTTACCGAACTGCATTAATATTTTCTAAGGGTTAATCAGTAATTTTATTTCCTATTCATTTCAAGTTGTGAATAGTTGAATGGGACAAGAAATTTTGTTGGGATTCATATTACTATTTACTTAACTATTGTTTGACATTTTCTATAATATATATATATATTTACCTGTTTTTACAGAAAATAGAAGAGCCTGTATTCAAACCTTTCAGTGGTACAGGTCATCAATTGAAATCACGCAAGAAATGAAAGTCTAATATCCTCCATATTAAATTATTTGTCTCACTGTTTGTAACAAAGATTTACACTGTCAATTTTTCGAGTTTTATTTCATTTGTTTAGAAGCACTTGTATAATTTTGTTGTTAATATTTTTTGCGTAGTAACAAATCTGTTAAATTGACAGTTTTTCTCGAGTGTCCTCGCATCCCACGCACTATGAAATGTCACCTTTTATGAAATAATTTGTTTTTTTATTTTTCAAAAGTCAGATAGGACCTTGTGATATTTCACTGATTAAAATGAAATTGACGTTAGGCTGTTGGAGACGATTGTCGGTAAACTGTGGACTTAGGTTTCATGCTAGTTGTCACTCTTCAGCTAGGCATTTTTGCTATCTTGAGCGGTATAAATATGAATTAGTGGTCAGTTATTTAATAAACAGTTAAGATAAAAAATGTCAATCACCAAAACAAACAGTGGTTATTCCATCGATCACGACCAAGACATAATATAACGTAATTTTGTGATCGTGTATTTGGTGCAATGTATAATTAATTTGTTCCATCTAAATTTACTGACAGTTTACTTAGTAGCTACTGATTTTAGAAGTTCCAAGTTCGTTATCAGTATATTGATGATAAACAATTAGCAATATAAGGACGATTTTCTAAGAAATACAAATGAAATAGTATTTACCCATCAAGCATTTTAAAGCCAAATAAAAAATAAAATATGTTATATTCATTAATTATTAGTCGGTAGTGGACAGGAATAAGGCATCGTTATTGGCGTTCATAATACATCAGAAACTGATCGACATCCAAAATGAAAATTCGACAACCTACGATTATGATTGTATGAACAACAGATCGTACTGTGTTAAGGATGCTGAATTCCCAAACACAACATTAGGATGATGTCAAATTTTGAAATTCTTGTGGTGATTAAAGCAAATTTTCATTTGTATTAATTTATTAAGTACGAAGTTAGTTTTATTTTTTATTCATTTCTCACTATATTCATAATTTCACTGTGACCATGATCAACTGACGATTATTTAGTTAAATAAATTTTTGTAAAAATATTTGGACCACTTGACGACCATTCAATTTAAATTGAACATAATTTAACCAATACATCTTTACAAGAACTCTCTTTTAATTGCGCAAAGGAATATCGTTGAAGTGTCTCATATTAGTCTCTCCGTCTATCCAATCCTCATGAGTCTTTTTTCGTACTCGAAGAATCTCTCAAACACTCGTCATTCGAAACCACCATACCCTTCTTGCTCAAACAAATCTACAACATACTGTACGTACATTCTATCCATGTTTACCTGATCTTATAATTTTATTATGAAAAATGGTGTTCCACTCTATTCTTTTGTAAACAGAAAGAAGCATACAATCTTGATTGTCTGGCCATTTTTAACTGTCATTCAATTTTTATGAGATTCTCTGGATTTATCTAGCAAGTATGTTGAAGGATTTTGTGAACAGATATCGGTCGACCTCGATACCATTCTATTCATCATTTCAAACAATAAGAAACCATGTACACGATACTAATAATAATTCAAAACCCATAAACAATAACAATGATATTGTAGCTTTATTAACTTATGTGTTCATTCTCAAAAATCAAGGCATTTTTTATGACAGAATCAACACCAAATACGTGACTCGACCATATTATTAGTTACGGATTTAAGAGGCATAAATCATTACAGACAACAGAAACTTACCTGGCACCGGGTTCAGGGTGATCAGGAATGCTCTGACCCCGAGTGGAGGCTCACCATTGCACCTCGGTGGGTTGAAACTCGCGACGAACCCTAACCGGATGCGCTGGGGCGTGTAGTTTTGCTTTCTAATTTTCATTTTACAGTACTTTTGTACTAATTGATCTTAGTTCTTAAGGGAAACTACTGAAATTATTTACGTAATTCATTGAATTTTCTGTGTATGGTATCTATGTGTTGTGAATGCCAACTCAGGTGGGGAAAATCAATTTATTGGTAAATGCAAAATTACAGAGTGCTCTCGTAAAATATGAAAACCATACATTAAATACATAGTTTGCACATCTTCCACCAGTTGTCCTTTACATGTTTCATAATTCCTTTGTTATTGCAACTTCTGTTCTATTCAATTGAATCTCTTCAATCTTCTACTTGCATGCATTCCGCTTCCGATTGCTACTACATACTACTTATATATGTCGACATAAGTAGCACACACCACAAATGTAGTTGTGGAACAAAAAGCTAGGTCATCATAAACAATTTTTGCATTTTATTGTATAGTTTCATCCTATTATTTTCAAACGTAGAAATGTCATCAGAACTATCAATAAACTGGTTTTGTGCAAAATTGTTTTTACTGACTAACAAATATTTAAGGAAAAAAAGCTAGCAATTGCTTACTTACGCCTGCTACCCCTTGTGGAGAAGTATAGGCCGCCCACCAGCATTCTCCATCGCACTCTGTCCTGGGCAATCCTTTCCAGTTGCCATTCACTCCTTTCATGTCTGCTTCCAATTCTCGACTCAGTGTGTTCTTTGACCCTTCTTGCTTCGTGATCCAGTTAGATGAATTTTGCAGTCTATGTCCTATCCACTTCCAGTGTCTTTTCCTAATTTCATCCGGAAGCTGGTTTGTTCTCTTTCAAAGTAGGCTGTTGCTTATCGTATCCGACCAACAGATATCGAGTATCTTGAGTAGACAATAGTTTATAAATACTTGTATGTTTTTGATGATGGTTGTGGTAGTTCTCGATGATGACTGACTGTTTTATTTATTTATTTATTTGAACACATGAATATTGGTACAAGAGAGCGCCAATATATATGCGCCACACAAAACAATGAGAATTCGAAGAGAAATAGAAAAAAGAAAGCTAAGGAGTGCAAAAAAAGAGAACAATAACGAAGAGATTGGTGTAAGGTAGTATGGTAGAAATGAGGGAACGGAAAGGTACAACCAGAAGAATTCTTTCAGGTAAGGGAGATACAACCACTTTTTATGAAGAAAGTAAAAGAAGGTTACAGCAGGATCGCCACTGGCTTCTATTCTGAGCCATATCTTATAACGTCTCTAGCCACTGTGTAGCACCATCTTTCGGACCCCAACCAGGGAGTCGTGAAGGACCGACAGAAGCCAGTCCTTTGCAGCTTTCTTCCATGTCATGCACTGACCACCTCCCCGCTTCTTCCAACCAGTCCCAGAGTCGGCAAATAATGCACAACGTGGAATTCTCTGGGACGACATTCATAGGACATTTCTAAGCCACCGAAGTCGGTATTTCAAGATGGTGACACCAATTGAATTATCATCTCTGTGCCCGAACACACGAAGCCGAACCTCTGCATTACTGACATGGTGTTGCCACTGAATGTCAGCAATCCTTCGGAGACAGCGATGATCAAACACAGAGAGTCGTCTAACGTCCTCAACTCGGAGAGGCCAGGTTTCACAAGCATAGATCAAAACTGCTCTCACCGACGCGTTGTAGATCCGACCTTTTACAGCCAGACTAACATCACGAAAGCGCCAAAGGTGGCTCAGATTGGCATAAGCCGCTCTGGCTTTCACTATACGTGCATTGATATCATCACTCACACCCCCACCAGCATTTATGCAGCTACCCAGATACACGAACTTCTCGACTATTTCTATCTGCTCACCACCCAGGGTGAGTACGGGATTGGAATCCTGCCAGTCTTGTAGGAGTACTTTGCACTTCGAAGGTGCGAAGCACATACGATACCTACGGACACTGATTGCCAACTGATTAAGTGTGGATTGCATGGCTTGGGCATTATCGCACAGTAAGACAATATCGTCCGCATACTCAAGGTCGAGAAGTCTTTCTCCAGGCAACAGATGCACAGCGCCATTACTTACATTCATCAGAGCTGTTTCCAGAATGTCATCGATGGCAAAGTTGAATAGGAATGGTGAGATTGGGCAACCTTGTCTAACCCCACTGCTCGAATGGAACAATGGAGAGAGGTGGTTGTATGCCCTCACTCTGCCTGAGGTGTTTTTATACAGGGCTTTTAGGATGTTAATAAACTTCTCAGACACCCTTGTTCAATAGACAATCCCAGAGAACAGTCCTGTCCAACGAATCGAAGGCAGCCCTGATGTCAAGAAACACTACGATTGAATGGCGGTGTTCTAATATTTGGCGGAGGGTGAAGATGTGATCAATACATCCTCGACCAGAAAGAAACCCAGCCTGCTCCTCGCGAGTCAATCTTTCTCGGGTTTTGAACAACCTACGAAGAATGACGGAATCCAATAGCTTGGACGCAATCGGAAGTAGACTTATCCCCAGATAGTTGTTACAGGAACGACGTGAACCCTTTTTAAAGATAGGGACAACTATTGACTCATTCCATGACGTTGGTACACTCTCTAGTTCCCAAACCTTTGTAAACAACGTCGTCAATTCCTTAGTCAGAAAGTCACCATCTTCAAAAAGAGCCGGAGGTAAGTCATCTGGGCCCGGTGATCTGTAACGCTTCAAGAGTTGGAGTTCCCTGCAGACTTCCACCTCATTTGGTGAATCAGTCGTCACCGGCCATGGAGGGCAGGACAGTCTGACCGATGTTGCCGGAGCAGCAGGCCAGTTGAACTGCCCTTCGAAAAATTCTGCCCATCGTCCAAGACGTCGATGGATATTAGTGATTGGCATCCCATCATCATCGCAGATTGTTTCACTCACACCAGACTTCTTGCTGCCAGTGGCTCTGATGAGTTGGAAGAGCTTCTGGTAATTACCAGATGCAGCTGCTGCTTCCAGCTCATTAGCACGCTTCGACCACCAGGCTTCTCGGTCCTTACGCAAGCTTTGCTCAATTTCATTACGTAACAGCCTTTGTTTGTGGTCAAACTCACGGTCACCCGGAGTAGACCGACGGGCTTCAATGAGTTGTAAGGAACCTGGAGAAACCCAGTGCTTAAAAGCGGGACGTTTCGCAAACCCACAACTGACTGTTCCCGCCATTTTCATGGCGTCATGCAATTGCAACCAATGCTCATCTATACTTTTCGGTGGAGTGGTAGCTAGCCTAAAGACTAGCTCGGTTCGATACTTACTTGCAACAGAAGTTGCAACCAGCTTGCTGACATCAATCTTTTGGTGGTGGTCACTTCGTTGGCCACTGAAAAGTAAGGCAAGATTGGCGCAGACCAAGGCATGGTCAGAGTCCAGATAGGTACTCCAAAAGGAGCGGCAGTCTTGTACACAACCACGCCAGCGGTTGCTGATCGCGATGTGATCAATCTGAGTCCAGGCTTGAGATGCAGAGGGAGGACGCCAGGTGGCACATCGACGATGACTGTGCCGAAAGTTAGTGCTAGCCAGAAACAGGTTGTGGTCTGTGCACAGTTGCAGTAGACGGTCCCCGTTATCTGACCTGCGACCAACGAGTCCCCATCGGCCACCTAAACGACTCTCTTCTGTGCCTAGACGCCCGACCTGAGCATTCAAGTCTCCGGCTAGTACTACAATATCTGTCGAACCCACTTTCTGGAGAAGAACAGATAACTGGTGGTAAAACTCATCCTTGATTGCATCTGGGCTGCAATCTGTCGGGGCATAGGCGGAGATGACGAAAAGACATCGTTTCTCACGCCGATTTCTTCTCACTTTGATGGAACTTTCTAATCTAACAGCACATAACCGACTGTTAATGGGGATCCAATCGACTAGTGCTGCCTCAGCTCTAGCGCTTAGTGCGACACCAACGCCAGCAAGACTAGACGAAGATGCCACAGGGTCCCCGGATAAGCGCACGTAAAACAAGCTTTTCGAAGCGACAGGTGTAGAGCGAATTTGTAGTACTTCACCAGAGTCGTAAATACGGGTCTCGGATAGACAGCAGACATCGATATGAAGACTTTCCAAAGACATAGCCAGCCCTATCTGTTGTCCAACCTGCATAAGTGTGCGAACGTT